TCCTTTATGCCCTTGGGAAGACTGGAAGGTTTGCAGACAAGATGATTTTTAATCACAAAGCCAACTCCAGATTCACGGTGTTCGTTACTGCTGCATCCACACCAGAATGTATAACCACCTCCTGTTTCTGTGAGCTGACCTTCGTTGGCTAGATGAGTTTCACACAGGGCTGCAATATCGATGTTAAATCTTGCGAGCTCTCTCTGGGGCTGTTCTTTCTGGTCGATTTGCTAAGGGGTTGTCTTGAAACATATGTTTGTACCATGTGCCAATGGTGAGTGGTGTCACCTTACGTTTTCTTTGAAGTTTTGTTATTCGACCGCATGAAGAGGGATCCCCTCCAGCCGTGGTAAGCTGGACAGAGTTCTATGAAGCAACAACATTTAGGGGACCTTTTCTAGCCCCTTCCTCTTACTACAGAGGTGAGCAGTGTGGTCCTAAAGAGAGCTGCTCAGTCACTCCGATAGATGCTGAATTTAGCTGTTGCTTTGGTCAGCAAAAGATGACCATTAGACCTGAGTTGCCTGTGTGCAGGTCTGTGGCTCTCAGTGTATCCACACCTGCTGCTTCGTTGCTCGCCCACCGCCGCAGGACTTTGAAGGTCACAGGAACTGGGAGAATGTCAAGACATGCGTGTGAATTGAATTAAAGTGAGGGAGAGGTGTGCATAGTCAGCCTCATCCTCTCTTCCCAGATTCCATCTTGCTCCAATAGCACAACAAGTCAAGACAGTTGGAGATGGGCTGGGCGCAATGGTAGACCAGCGTGTCTTTTGTGTCTTGCCGTGCTCTTAAGAGTACCACATTGCTTTCAGAGAGGGCCTTCATTACCATTGTGCTATTCAAGGTTACATCCGCTCAATCCACCGGAATCTATCTTCAGATGCTCAGGATAGATAAGTCCCTATCTCACCATAGGTCAATGACCCAGCAGCTACTCTCAACCTAGTTTGGCCAGCCTGCCGAAGCTGTTGCCTCGGTGTAGCGCATGCTACAGCTACTAGTATTTAGTATTTAGTATTTATTAATACTTATAGGCCGCCCTTTTCCCTGAGGGGACTCAGGGCGGCTTACATAAAATGAGGGGGGGGGTATACAAACAATAGACACAAACAATACATAGAAGTAAAAT